GAGAGGGGTGGGCAGGGAGAAAAATGCAACAATGAATGTATGGAAATCGAAAACCTCAGTACACGTTCTTTAAAATTAAATTTGTTTTAAATTAATTTTTAAGAAAAGCTTTAAAGGAGTCTGAGTTTTCAGTTCATGAATATACTGAAAAAAAAAATACAAAAAACAAACACCACAGAACTAAAAACCTCCACAAACAAGCGCACTGGAAGGTCAAGTAGGAATCAGATCAAACTCAGAGATTATAAGCTTAAGGTGAACTTCACTATATACAGGGTTCCAATCGTAGGGTACGAACTTATCTTACATCATTGGCCTTGAATGTCTCCATCTGCTCTTAACTTGATACTGAAATTCAGATGGAATGGATTGAAGATCCTATCATGTTGGTATCTGTGGACTCGTTTTCAATTTCTTCGGCCTCACTTTGAACTTGCATATGAGTATTTGATGTTCTGAAACCTAGTCCACCCCAGGCCTCGTTTTGAGTGCAGATACTGAGCTGCTCAAAAGAAATTTCTTCCACAAATATAGTCGGTCTGATTCCTGTGCATCCAATCAAGTGAGATCCTCGGATAAAGTCATTCCTGTCTTAAAAAAGGTATTTCCAATGCTGAAATCATTCTATATATGAATTTGAATGTGATTTCTGTCACTAAGCCCCTATTTTACACCTACTATTCCTTATTCAATATTTGTCACTCTTCAGTGTTTCACACTTGCATTCCAGTCACCAGTTATCATTAATACATCTTGATTGCATGTTTGGTCAATTTTTGTCTGCAAAATTTCGTAAAAATGCTTAATTTCACCCCCTTTGACTCTACATGGAGGAATTTAAATACTAGTCATGTGAACAGTCCTTTCTTGTATGCGTGTTGATATGATCCTGCCAGTCACGATATTTAAGAAAGATTTCAGGATTTCACATGCAGTCCTCCGGTCTATCAGAAATAAACTTGGGAGTTTGTGCTAGATAGTCATTGCTTAGAAGCAATCTAGATACATAGGAATGTTCATGTAATATTCCCAAACCGATTCCCGTCTGTGACTCATACTGAGACAAACAACCAAGAATGACAGAGAGTAAAGAGGGGGCCAGCAACCCTGAGCACTGAACTGCCCAAGCCATGCCTCTCTGTGTGTAGAAAATCATCAGGAAGATAGAGGAAAAGCACCAGGGAGTAGCAAATAGATACAAAGGATTATGGAGAAGTCTTTTGCAAATAAGGCAGAGTTCTTTTCTGTGTACCTTATGTAGGAGGGAGGGGATTGAGTAAATGCAAACTTAGAAAGATGACTCTTAAGGAATGCCTTAGTGCCTCAGAGTGAACTTTAGCTTGTATTAGGTCTCCCTTATTTGCTGATACAGCACTTAGTTGATTATTAAATTTGATATCTGGCATCCCACAACCCTCACTTTCTTTCAACTGTTAGGTGCCCCTATACGCTCAGAACTTAGCCGTGTTCTATCCTGCGCATTTTGCTGCAGTCACTCTGACATCTCGTTAGCTGGCTTCATCTCTTTCACTCTACCATTCCAAGCATGTTGTCCCTTTCCAAGAATAGCCTCTCAG